GTGGGGCTCTTGAGCCATTTGTTAGGTCAATGATCCTGTTGAGGTACATGAGAGAAAATCAGTCTAGATTTATTCATGGGATGGACAGATTTCCTGTGTTAACTCAGCAGACAGCACTTCCCAATTTATTTATCCCTTACAATTGAGAAGAAAACGACTGATGTTTTCCAGTAAACCCTAAAAGGTAAAAGCAAAAGGAATGCCTCGCTGGCACGTGACGTTCCTTCCTCAAGGCTTCCCTTTCGCTTCCCACCCTGACAGCTAGAGATGAGCCAGAGCCCACCTCCTTGTCAAGCTTGACTGTAGCTTCTATGTTCCATTCCTCTCAGGTGCAGCATGAGCAACTTCCACCTGTGGATTCATGGACACACATACACACACACACACACACACACACACACACGGATATGTTTCTCCAGCAGCTGAGGAGCCAGGATGGAGGAGAGAGCCACCAGCGCATATGGGCAAGAAGGGGGTCCAGTTGATGAGCCATGTGATCGTTCTTTCATTCCAATAGTGCATACTCACTGGGAATCTGTTAGCCACCTGGAGCTGCAAAATGCTGGTCTATGCCCACCACGGGACACGGCACTGGGCCAACTAAATATAACCCCTGTCGTCAGCGACTCCAGCCTGATGACTGAGGAGACCGGGTCACCAATGACTGGCTTTCAGTGCAGGTTGAATGTGAGTTGCTTTACGACCATGTCACAGGTCAGGGGGCAAGGCGGTAACCCTGTCATCAGGCTGGGACCATGTCCTGACACAGCTGAGTGAACCAGTGTGTCCTAGAGGAGGCGATTAAAATGCATCTGGGCTGCAAGTGTGTGCCAAGCATGTGTGTGTGTGCCAGGCACTGTACTCACATCCACAGTGAGTCTCGTGAGACGATAACTCGGATAAACCAACTGATGCTGCTCGGCAAGGGAGTGGACCTAAAAGCTGAAGGCCCCGCGGCCTCAAGCCTAGGGACTCAAGGGTGCATTTTGCTGATGTTCTCACGGTGACATTCCCATTTTCTTTCTGATCCCTCACGTGACCAGGGATCTCCTTTAAAAGAGGACCAGCCTCCTGGGAGGCTTTGAGATCACAGACTAGTGTCCATGTGGTCATCTCCGTGGATTTCTTAAGTTATTTGTCACTCCTGGGTCTTGTCTTTGAGATCACAGACTGGTGTCTATGTGGTCATCTCCGTGGATTTCTTACGTTATTTATTTGTCACTCGTTGGTCTTGGTTTAAAACAGAAGTTTTACCCACCAAAGTTGTCGCTGTCTTCCTTTTGCAGTAGCACCCATTTCCCTCTTACCGAGTAAATTGATGGCATGGATACATCCTGACTCACCAACACCTCCACACCCAACTGCAGGGGTCTTAGTCACCAGGAGAGAAACTGCATGCAGAAATAGTTCTCTTTGTTCATTTTTTGGTGGTGGGGTTGGGCTCTCTCTCTCTCTCTCTCTCTCTCTCTCTCTCTCTCTCTCTCTGTGTGTCTTTCTCTCTGTGTTTGTGTCTGTCTCTCTCTCTCTGTCTCTGTCTCTCCCTCTCTCTCCTCTCCCTTTCTCCCTCCTTTCAGTTCTCTGATAGTCTCATCCATGTACATAATGAATCTCAGTCATTTTCATTGCCCTCTCTCATTCACCTCCCTTCGAAACCTTCTTCTTCCCTACAAACTCCCTTCCGCCTCCATGTCTTCCTGTCGCATGTGATCCGCTCATTCAATTAGAGTTGCTTCCAAGAGCAAGGGCAGGGTTTTTTTTGTTTGTTTGTTTGTTTGTTTGTTTGTCACAAGGGCCACTGTTCAGGAGCTACACCAATGAGGAAAAGGGCACCTTCTCTCCCAGCAACCATTAACTGCCAATAGTCCCCCCCCACACACACCATTAGGGGTAGGGCCTCAAGGCCCCCCTCCCAGCCATGATGAAATGTTGGCTGGACCAGTCTTGTACAGGTCTTGTACGAATGACGACATCTCTGGTGAGTCCATGAGTACAGTGGTCATGTCACGTCCAAAAGATCTATTTCTGTCTGTCTCCCTGCCCTCCGGCTCTGACATTTGTTCTTCCCCATCTTCAGCACTGTTCTCTGAGCCTTGGAGGGAGACATGCAGACGTCCCATGTAGGGCCAAGCGCTCCACCATCACTAACCCTTTGCACTGTAACAGGCTGTGAGTCTCTGCATTAACTACCCCTTCCGGCCCTTAGGGGCTTCTCTGAGTACAGCACTAATCTACGCTTATAAAGAGGAGTGTTTACAAAAGCAGCTTGACAATTTTTTTTTCTGAGACAGGGTCTCACACTACAGCCCAAGCTGATCTCAAACTCATGGTCATCCTCCTGCCTCAGCCTCCCAAATGCAGGAATTACAGCCTGTAGTGAAGTAAAACCTTAAGCTTATGTAAGTCCCGTCTCAGAGGCTGGGTACCAAGTATTTACAGAAGAAACTTGCAGGACCCATTCGCCGAATGGGGAATTTGTCTGACTTCTCCTAACTGACTCTCCTCACACATCACAGAGAGTCCATTCAGAGCATCTGCTACGCTGATTGACAAGCCACTAATTTCCCCAATGAGAACCCATGCGTAAGTGTTAATTAGCAGCATCTGGTGTGAATCAGAAATACAGATACCAATTGAGGCAATTGTACTCATTATCTCTGGTGTATGGTCTTTTCCAATAAAACGTTAGGTGATCATGCTGAGGTGCGAATTCCCGAAACAAGCATTGACAGCACCCGGGAGCATGGTGTTAAAATGTATGCATTTAGATCCCACTCGCCGTGAGAAAGTATTTTAAAGAAGATTACAGGCATGATCATACAGCCCACAGGAACATGTCACCACCCAGCTAAGCCACGAGATTCAGCTAAGAACTGAATCTGGGGGTGGGGGCAGGTATGTGCTACATAGAAAGGATGCCCTGTCTCAGTGACGATGATTCATTGTGACTTCTTAGCTCACTTTGTTGTTGTTGTTTTGTTTTGTTTTGTGACACAGGGTTTCTTTGTGTAACAGTCCTGGCTGTCCTGGAACTCATTTGTAGACCAGGCTGGCCTCGAACTCACAGAGATCCGCTTGCCTCTGCCTCCCGAGGACTGTAAGACCATTCCCGGCCTTAGCTCACGTCTTAACCATTGGTGGAGTGTTCCAGTGTCCTCCCGGGCTTGTGATGTTCATAGTCACTGCAGGTTTTGAGAGAAAGATGTGGAGAGACAGGAAAACCAAATAAGCAACATTCAGCTTTTCCCTCTGACTGTCTTTCCCAGAAACAGAAAATGGTTAAACACTAAAGCATTAAGTCACATTTATCCTCACTTCCGGGCCGACCTGACTGCTTACTTGAGATCAGGCCTTGACATTAGCCCCATCCTGTAATCCTTGCTCCCAGGATTCCACCACTCAACCTGTTCGTTCCTCCACTGTCTGGATAAAGGACCTTGGCAACATCGAACCTGCCCCTTCTCCCAGGATTCAGCCCTTGCTCACGAGTACAAACAAACGTCAGTGCATCACTGAAAGCTGTTATCAGAATCTCCTTTCTGTTCAAGTAGCATGCATGACCCGGTTCCTCGAGGCCAGTGAAAGGAAAATCAACCCTCTGAGTGAGCCTCCTGGCCACGGGGATCAGAAGCTGGAGAGAGGGTCCCGGATAATTCCAAGGACAGGTTTCCCCTCCTGAAGCCAGGATTCAGAAGGACAGCCATTACCAAGCAGAGGAGTGTGGCTGATCAAATTAAGAAATGTGTTTTAAAATTCAATTACACCCTCGGTGGAAATAGTCTCACTAATGGTTAGGGATAGAATTATACCCAGTCTATAAAGCCTAACATTTCTAAACCCAATTTTGTGCATTATTCTAAAGGTTAATTCAAAACCTCTCTTCCAAATGGGAAATTAAACACAGCCAATAGAAGGAGGGCATCCACTGCCTGGCTAAGGGTTTATCAGTGGTAAGAGTTCATTAGTTTTAATTAGTGTAATCACTAATGTTGCATTAACAGTTTAGTAAAGGAAAGTAATTACTCACACATCCACTGTAGTAGATGGGAAGATTAGGATTCATTTTCCAAAAAATGATTAGCATTTTGCCAATTAAACAAATCCCTTCTCCCTGCCAGCAGCCCCGTGACCTCCCTCACCCAGGATCGTTTAAATGAAACATACTTTGCATCAAAAGATGGAACAGGGAGGAATGGAGAGTTAAGGCTGCGTTTATTTTTAGTTCTTTCTCCGGGTGCAGAGAGTGTGCACGTCTCCACGAGTTCATAATGCCCTACTCCATTTGCATAGCCATTTGCTCCAGTCTCCTCTGATTATGTCCCTGTCTTCCACGTGACGCCGCAGCGATTGAAAAACCAAAAATGGCTAGCGATGGTGGAGGATGAAACCAGAAAGACTAGGTGGAAGGGCCATCACTTGGGTCCAATACTGGGACTCCATATTAGCACGTCTATTGGTGTTGAGCCTCTTCGGGTCTTGTTGAGGTTGCCGTGTTGCGGCAATATCGTGTCATTCCCAGGGGACACCATCTCACAGCAGGTGTCCAGGTCCTCTGGATCTTACAATCTTCCCCCTGCCCCTTCCACGATGTTCCCTGAGCCTTAGGTACAGGAGTCGTGTTGCAGATGTATCTGTTGGGGCTGGGCACCTCGGGACCCGTTGTTCTCTGCGTTTTGACCAGTTGTGGTTTTCTGTAATGATCTCTCCATCTGCAAAAAAAAAAAAAAAAAAAAAAAAAAAAGGCTCCTTGATGAAAACCGAGAGTTACATTTATCAGGCAAAGCCAGTTTGAGAGCTGGCCTGTGGGTGTGGAGATGGCACACCCCAGAGAAAGAGGGAGAGAGAGCAAGAAGGAGAGAGAGAGAGAGACAAACAGACAGACATGCAAACATTCCCTGTCTTCACTGTACAGTCTGCCTTTAACACTTCTAACATCAGGAGAGCCGCACTGGGCACCAGAGACAAGCCTCGAACCCCGCTAACGCTCTTCTCTTTCCTTCCAGTATGTGTCCGGTAGACGGGCCATCACTCAGAACTCCACAGAGCAAGGCAGCTTCCACCCGCTCCATCTTCCTCACCACCATCGCCACCACCGTCACCGCAGCCACCTGTGCCACCATGCCCGTCCGCGCCACCTCCACCACCAGGAGGCAGGGATGCCCAGCGCTCAGGTGACAGCCTGCCTATGCCCGCTCTTCTCCTGCCAGTGGGAAGGTCACCTGGAGGTGGTGGTGCCTCATCTGCGGCAGATCCACAGGATTGACATCCTGCAAGGGGCAGAGATCGTCTTCCTGGCCACGGACATGCACCTCCCCGCGCCCGCCGACTGGATCATCATGCACTCTTGCCTGGGCCACCACTTCCTGCTGGTGCTCAGGAAACAGGAACGGCACGAAGGGCACCCTCAGTTCTTTGCAACCATGATGCTGATCGGGACCCCCACCCAGGCCGACTGCTTCACCTATCGCCTGGAGCTCAACAGAAACCACAGGCGTCTCAAATGGGAAGCCACCCCGAGATCTGTCCTGGAGTGTGTGGACTCGGTCATCACGGATGGGGACTGCCTGGTTCTCAACACCTCGCTGGCCCAGCTCTTCTCTGACAATGGCAGCCTCGCCATCGGAATCGCCATCACCGCAACCGAGGTCGGCGCCACCGATGCCGAGATGTGAGACCAGGAGCCGCTGGATATTCCCACTGCCTGTGCACCTTGGACCTCCAGCTGTCAGGACCTTCTTATTCCTCTTCCTTCCTTCCTTCCTTCCTTCTTTTCTTTGTTTTTCGTCTCAGGTAATTTGTGGTATTAGTTTTCATCTGCCCATGGGGCATCACGTTATGTAAACATCTGTGATTCAAGATCTTGGTGTGAAATCTGTCCTGTGTTGTTGGTAACGTTTTGTAGAACGTTTGGAAGGTTCTACCCGAATAGTTATTTCCTGCAACCACTGGTCTCTTTCTCTACTGCTCCCAAAGGGAGCAAATACCTAGAGGCAGAGCACGGGTGTTACCGGAGGCTCGGCTTCCAAACAGTTCCTTCCTCTTCTTTTCGGCTGTTTAAGACAGAGCCTAACTTGTCATGGCTGAGGCGGCCAGCCGTGATGGACGCCTTCCCAGGAGTCTTGGGGTCAAAGCTAAGCTGCATGAGCATGAGCGACAGTGTCTCCTCCACAGCGGAGTCACCTAGAGACACACTTTGTGTCAGAAGCAGTCACCTGATCCAGGGCTGGGGACAGCTGTCAGATCCCAAACCCTCTGTCTTTCAGGTTCTCCTGGCCTCATTCCCTGGCCATGCCATTCCCTTTGGCTTTGCAGTTAAAGCCCAGATGTTCTTGATGCCTTTCTGAAAATCGCTTTGCCTCTGGTGAGAAGCAGGATAGGTATGATGCAGGAGAAAAGCTAGAAGAAAGAAGAAGGCATCCGATTAACCTCTAACCTCTGGGAGGGCGTGCTTGCCTTGGCGAGACGTTTTAAATACATGAATTATGAATCCATCACCCCCCACCACCACCACTAGAGTAACACCTTCTTGTATCAGACAGAAAGCTGCTCTGTCCTTGATGGTTTATACATACGAGCCACCATCAAACAGCGGGACTCCAGCCTGAGGAGCTGACTCTGACACACTCTAGCCCCCCCCCCCCCCACTTTCCTCTCCTTCCTCTCTAACATGCTCTGTAGCCCTGTTCAGCACATAAGCATGGCTGCTTAGGAGTAAGCTCCGAATATGCAGAAGGAAGCCTCAGGAACCCACCTCACCTCACCCTCCACTCCCGACCTCTATCCCCCCAGCCCCCAACTCCCACCCCCACACCACACCCACCCACCCCTCCCCTCACTCCCTACCCACCTCCAGCCTCCTCCCTCCTCTCCTCCCCCTCCCCCTCCCCCCTCATCTTCCCCCGCCCTAGAGGCTGCTCTCTCTTGTTTTGTTGTTAGAACAATACATCAGCCTTTGGGGAAAGACCTTCCCGCACTGGAGGAAAATGGGGGTGGGGGTGGGGGCGGGGTCTTCACTCTGCTTTCTTTCTGTTCTAAGTTGCACACCTTAAAACCTTCCCCATGGGTCCACGTGTCCACAACATCCTTTCGGTCACTGTCCAGGTGCTAGGGGAAAACATGGCACCCCAAACCAGCCCAGCTCTCCACAGGGCTGTGTGGGCCTTTCTCCAGCTCATTCCCTTACCTCAGGCACACCAGCTGGGCCTGGCTGGCCTCCGAGTGAACACTCAGTTTCGGGCAGATTGTCCTGGCTACTGTCCATCGGCAATCTTTTCTCCACCAAAATTAATTCATCTTAAAATACACTACCCGTCTCCCAAACTGGTTGATCTTCCAGCCACTTTTGCTGCGGCACTGGGAGATTAGGTTTATAGAACTGTGAGAACACAGTTCTTTCCAGTCATCCAGTCATTGCTGGGTCTTGGATCTAGGGCTTCATCTCTCCATCTAGGGCCTGAGGAGCATAGCTAACTTTACTCACAGATTAGCACAAAGATGAGGCTCTGAGGTATCCTGAAGCTTGTGTCCTGTGGGCTCCAGGCCATTAGCCTCCAACCACAGAGGGCCCAGACCCAAGGCTGCTATATCAGCCCCGGGAGAGACCAGCTGGTGTGGCTCCTTTCTGGCAACCCAGGACCTCCCTAGCTGTCTAGAGGCGTCAGAAGCCACAGTTCCTCTCCTGGCTTCTGATGGTCATTTGTAACGCACAGGTGCCCCAACTAAACACACACACAACACCTCAAGAAGAACACATGTAGTGCTTACAGGACTCGGAGCTCCTGCAACATGGCCTTCCCCTTGCTGCTGAGCCAAACTAGGAAGGACTGCAGGCCGTGGTTACTGCACACTGCATTATAAGTAAGTGATCCCAGGCACAGACTTGAATGGTGGTTCCTATTCATCTTCAGAACAAAGGTTAGGAAATGTCTTGTTTTCCTCCAACTATGGTGCTCCCAAGACGGCTTTTCTCTCCACACTAATATGGGAAGAACAGAAGACAAAGGAGCAAGCTAATACTGGTGAATTGGAAACAGAGGAGAAGAGTGAGAAACAGCGTGTTTGAGCGTCAGTGCTACCAAAAGGCTCTCTCCTTTAGTCTTGAGTAAATCCTCATCACTCTCCTCAATACGCAGGTTGAGAGATACGCCATGACCTTGTCAAGGTCACACGTCAGACCACATGTAAAACTCAGCTCTACTGGTTCAGACTTAGCGTTCTCAATAGGAAGACGATCCCCTAGTGTTCAGCAGGGTCTTGCTTCAGCAGTTGGAGATTGGAGACTTGAAAACTGAGTGGGTCTTCACCCTGGAATGATGAGGAGAATCCAGGGGGAAAGGCTGGAGTGAAATCCGCTTTTAGTGGCATCTTAGCATTGTGGAAGCGAGCTGGTCCCAGGGAGGCGGAAAGGAAGAGGCCCATGGAGGTCTCTGTGGCCCCGTGTCCTTTTGCCTCCTTCGCCCACCGCCAGGGCCTCGTGCTCATGGATCCTGGAACCTGGGTTCCTCCTTCATGCCAAGACACTCAACTTGAGAAATTCCCTGAGGAATTTTTGTGTTTTAACAGAAGGCATAGACAGACAGACAGTAGCACTGATGAGAGACACGGCTGTCTGTATTTGAACTGGCAGCTGTGAGCAGTTTGTCCAGAAGGTGTTTAAAGAGAAGGAGGCCTTGCCTTGAGTCTGAGCCTACATGAATGATGGATGGAGGTTTAGCGATACGATGAAGATTGTTCCTAACAGTGAGTATGCGTATGAACCTGTACCTGGGATAGTTCTAACATTCCAGCAGCCACTGGGGACATTTAGAAATGATCAGGATAGCTGTCACAGTGGGCCTGTGGCTGCCACTGACTGAAAGTTTCCTATGTGACCCAGGGGGATAAGTCCTTGGAACTTATTATCCCACATAATCCTCAAAACAACCACACGAAGCTGCTGCGATGTGTCGGGACGGATGAGAAACTGCAGTTAGTAAACAGCAAAGCCAGCCCCACAGCCAGGCTTCCAACCAACTCCATCCATGTCATCTCTATGAGCTCGTGTTCCAGAGTCTCAGAAGGACCCAGTCATCAAGTTCGAGCGGCATGGAAGCCCTGCTTTAGTATTTCAGTACTAAATGTACCCTTTCTCTTCCTCTTGTCTCCTTTTCTTCCAGCCCAATAGCTGACTTGTATCCACATTGTTCCATTTTTAGAATTTTGTAGGTCAGTTATTACAACCATTATTGAAAATTAACATATATAATCTTACAATTAAATAAATTCTATTTAAAACAAGGACAATATTCAGGCTTCATTGCTTCCTGATTCTTTCTGCGCTCCTGATGACATTTGCCTCACATCAGCAAGGAACATGCTCACAATGCTGCACCGGTGCCTACCTACCTCCCAACTCAGCATCCAGGGGCTCCACGGTGAGAGCTTGCAATCAGCTAGGCTAGAAGGATTTACACTACAGCCATTGGCAAATACTCTACGCCAAAAGAGTACCAGAAAGTTAATTCTTAAGCCTTTACCGTCATAGCACTGTCTAAATACTGCTGATGCCCACAGGGTGGGGAGAAAGGCCTTTGAAAGGAGACGTTCTTGGTGAGTACACAGATGGCAGTCAAGCAGAAAGCTGTCTGGGAAATGCGACTCTACTGGAGAAGAGACCCTGGGGCCTCCAAGTAGCTTCCAAGAGCATTTCTTACCCAGAACACCCTTCAAACTTCCCTACCCTGGCCTATGCTGCTGTGAAAAATCCTATCTGTTGGCTTTCATGGAGAACCACGGCCCACAAAACCAGCCTATTGGCAACCCCGACCTAAAAGCAAAACCAAGCTCTGTAAAACTGGAATCCCCTCCATCACTTTCTCTCATAGCTTCCCCTCCCTTCTTCTCCCTTACCTATAGGTTAATGTTCTCTAAAGAAATGCTTTACTTTGAAACTAGAGATTGGAAACACTCAACATTTGAGGAAGACATAAGTAGTGGTTTCGAATACTACATAAAATGTGTTGCCAAGGAAGGCAAGGGAGACCCTGGTGTGTTATGAATCAAGAGGCCGAGAAGGCATAGGTGAGGGGAGGTCATGGGAAAGACAGAGGCCAGCACCTTCCTTCCTGCTCTGGCTACTTTACTTGATACAACCCAACAAGGAGACTGCCAGGGAGGGCGTGGTTCCCACTGTCACAAAAGTCACAGGATCTTAGAAGTCCTGTGCCTGGAAACAGGCAGATAATCTGAGATGAATTGTGAATCAAGGGGCTGGAGAGACGATTCAGTCCATAAGATGTTGGCTGTATATGCGTGATGACTAGAATCTGTCCCCAGCACTCACATAAAAGCCCGCGGATGTAGTATGTGCTTGTAATCCTGGCAATGGGAAGACGGAAAGAGGAGGATTCCTGGGTCTTCCCAACATTATGTGAAAATATTTCGCTTTGAGTGTACCAGAAACATCCCCTGTCCTTTTAAGACCTTGTTTGGAGAACAGAGATAAGGAAGCAGATGGACATTTCACTCCAATTGACATATATAGAATTTTCTAGTGACTTCAGAGACAAGAAGCAGTAGTGAATCGGAATGCTACCTTCTCTTCACCTCTTCCTCCGTGGAAAAGCCACTAAACTGCAGTTGATACCATTTCTTTGAGCCCTTTGCCATCTGCTCATTCTTAGTATTGGGTTGTTCCCTGCAACATGAGGGAATAGCAATGTAAAGCCACGAGGCAGAGGGCAGTACACAGAGATTCACTGCTGTGAATGCTGTCATGCTTGCCCTGTGTTTCATTATCTCCCTCCCGCTTCACGTGGGCCTCCATTGAAAGTCATCATTGAATGGAGGGAAGAAAATGCTGCCAGTGGAGAATTGAAACTGTGATAACTCCAATGTCCCCGGAACTATTTCAGCATCTCACGCTGCCCTGAGACAGGGGACCACCGCCTCTCTCCCTGCATTCTAAAGAGAGAGAAGGGTTTCACCCCTGGCCCTGGCCTCCCAGATCCCCTTATCTCAGCTGTCCCCTGCCTCTGCCCAACAACACTGTCTCTGAAATTTATTTCTGGGTCTATCAGATCACTTGTCAAAGAAGGCTTCATGGTTTAATTCTTTAATTCCAGGCCACTGTTAGTTACTCCCAAGATCAGAATTGAGCATGGTTCTAATCCTATTGCCTGTCAATTCATTTTAACCTCAATCTTCCTACCACCTTATTCCCAGAACTGTTTCCTGCTCTCACAAAAGCTTAGAGAGAGAGAGAGACAGAGACAGAGACAGAGACAGAGAGAGCTCATGCCTTGAATTGATCTGAATGATCAAAAGTGACCAGAAGGCTAACATGAATATTCATGAGCTGGGCACCTTTCAGGCCATGTCATTGACAATGTTTTATACCTCACAGTAGCCTAGATCCTCAAAGACATACACCAATGTTGCCCAATGCTGGGGAGGGAGTGTCCCCTAAATAGTGGAAAGGGAGCCTTCCCAAAAGTCAGCCATGGGAGGAAGGAAGGCCCATCTCACCTGCACCCTGGAATCTAGGGGTTATTGAACTATTAATTACCTGGAGAACTCAATTTCCAGGCCTCATAATCCACAGTTCTGATTCAGGGGACCACAGTGGAGCCCAGGACTCGATTGTTAATGCTGTCCCCTACAAGTTCTGAAATCCAAAGCCAGGGTCCAGTGAGAAAAAATGGGGCACAAGAAACACAGAAAGCAGGTAAAGTCCCCTGTAGAGACCAGCTGGTGATTCAGGAGGAAGGCAGGGAAGAAGTGACTGGAGATGGCCCAGGCCGCATTTGGATGATGAAGCAAGACATAACCAGGGCTCCAAAGGGTCTTGAGGGGTTAGTGTCCTCTGTCATCCAGTGTTACAGAGGTCCCTGCTCTTGCCATTGGGAGGAGGTGTAACAGAGGAAGGTGGAGCAGACAGAGGTGTGGGAAAGCCTGCACAGACTGATGGGGGTGCGACAGCTTATCAGTCAGGATGGATGGATGAACCAGTGTAGAGCAGTCCCCAGTGCCAAGTGTCACACAGAAACAGTCCCCAGTGAAGTGACTGCTACTGTGTAAATCTTCCTCTGAGCACAAGAGGTTTATCCTTTAAATCCCTGCCTGGGGGAGGTGGAGATGGGAATTCATCCTTAAATCTCTGTCCCTTCCTGAGTACAAGTTTCCCAGCAAATCCCCCGGGGATGCAGTTATTTACCCTGAAAATCCCAGGCTGCCTGAACAGGGCTGTCATTGGGGCTTTCCCTGGGTGATGTAAATTATCAATCTCCTTCCTCCAACCGCTCAGAACTAAACCCCACATAAGCTTTGCCTAGAGGCAGCAGAGAAGGAAATCTCTGAACTACTTCCCATTAGCCTAGAAGTAGAGGAGAGACTCTGCATTTGCCCTGTAAGGGGGCCAGTGGGAAAAACATCCATTAGGTATCAAAGCTGGGAGCTTTGGCGACCACCCAGTTAGAAGGTAATTGACTCTTCCATTCTCTATGCCTCCTTCCAGGTACCAAGTCAACTTCCATTAACACACAGGAGGTGGACATTTCTCCATTTTTAGATCCAACATTGAGGTTAAAGGGAATGGCCTTCAGTTGGAAAAATCCGGATTGTAATTCTAGTATACCACAATAGGATACCACAAAGAATGTTCCAGAAAATAAGCTCAGAGGAAGATTTCTCATTTTGATAGATTTGCACAAAAGTTGTTTTGGGAGGCAATTTGACTAATTGGACAGACATCCTAAATCACAAACCCATTCTGACTGGTTAGTCATTAAGTACATTTGATGAGAGGCATGGGAGGCCCACCCATGGGTATGAATTTCACTATTTTATCTAATTCTCTCTTTGTAGTTTTGATCAGCCATAGAAGGTGATACATAGTAGCATATGTGAGAACCAAAGTTAAATGCTGGAGGCTATTGTTTATGTTTTCTCTCTCCTAAACAAGTTCATTTGACCCAACTGTACTGGAAGTGCTTGATTGGATGAGGTGGGAGGTATGTGGGCAGGAAATACATCAGGATGTACGCTGGACCCTGATTGGATGTAGGCCAGGAGTCTGTGGCAGAAAATTCATCAGGATGTATGCTTGCCCCTGATTGGACCTATTGGGAAATACAGTGGCCTGGTGGTTTTGTCTTTTTAAGACTCTGCAAGACATGACTTGTGGCCATTTCCTGGGAACCCAGGAGTGGACCTGGCCAGAGTCCATCTTCCTGGCCAGTGTTTAATTAAAGCTTGCTTCAAATTTGACTCAAAATTGTGGAACTGGTTTTTCCTCTCACAAATCTCAAGATTAACACATACAGATCATACCTCACCTGCAGTAACCTAAGGGATGGGTCCTCAGAACCCCCCACCCAGGTAAAGGCAGAAAGGAACTTCAGGTTGGTTGGCAGGTGAACTCAAGGGATCTTCTCTTCTCTACCCTCACTGCTCCCTCCCTTCCTGCCCAGTGCGGGGATTACAGCACTCACCGGTGAGCTCAGCTTTTAACATAGATGTGAGGGACCCACACTTTGGTTGTCAAGCTTGCGTGGCAAGTTATTTACTGAGCCATCTCCCCAGCCACCAGAGTTGGACTTCATTAACAGAAAATTTTAACACAGATTCAAGCCCAGGAATTAATGGGAAGAGAGGCGTTCTGTGAGAGACCAAGACATGCTCGAGTGTGGGTGTGGGCACTGTCTTTATAAGAGCCACATCAAGGATGCTGGCGGGGTTTGAAGTTATTATCTTGAAAGGGTTGTATAGGAGATTAACTGTGATCATAGAGGGGCCACCAGGTGCTGGAGAGGCTCATAGCTGATAAGGTAAAACCGTAGATAATCAGAATTGTAAGGGAAGTTAGGAGACTCCCAGTGTAATGAAAGTTTATAGTTTGATTTGTGAGATTCCCACAGAATAACAGGTTTATGTCTGGAAAAGGAGGGATAGGAGGTGAGTGAGCAGAGTTCTTGAGAACAATGGCCACCAAAGTCACACCAGGCTAAAGACTTTGGGGCCTTTGTCTTGCAGACACAGAATGAATTTCGTGAACAAAGGAAGGGTGAATTTCAGAAAGGAGTTTTATTACAGGAGGAGCTCAAGAGAAAGGAAGCAAACAGTGTACCTTTAGCACAGGGGGGTTCCTAGAAAGGGCTGCAGCTGAGGGGCCTGCTGAAAGTTAATAAGGCCCTATTGGGCAGAGGTGGCGGGGGTGAGTAGCTCGGTCCAGTTGTCCCGCCCACAAGGGGTACCTGGACTGGAGTTTTGGACAGATTCCGGGGCATCTGGTCTCCCATAGCTTCTA